AGTTTTCGCCGTCGGATATCCCATACACAGAGTTGCACACTCTTGGGGAGTTATATACTCTTGCTGTCATGCTTAGTCATGATCATGGCTCAGCTGATTCTACACTTTAACCTCCCAACTCTCCACTCACTCCACATCTGCTGCATCCATACATGTAGCACTGATACCATGAGTCCACAAATTAGTTTAATTTCAATTAGGCCATGGTCAAAAACGAGAGAGCTTGGAAGCTCAGGGCCCTACGCTATGCTTTTTTGCCTTGATGACCTAGACAAAATAAGCATAGGGATGTTATTAATTCTTGAAAAAATCCTTTTTTTAAAGACATAATCTGGGATTCGAACCCGCACTATCGCGCGCCCTGCATGCATCTCCCGATACACTTCGCATACATACTAATTCTTCCAAGTTGCTTCACGTTATGATTTTGCATTTGAAAGCCCTATTTGAATATGCATTGTGGCCAGTCGTCGTTGATGGTACGGTACGGTACTGGATAGGTACGATCGAGGGTAATAGGACACCGTCTACCGCCTTGATGACGGCAAAAAAAGCATAGGGATGTTATAAATTTTGCAATTCTCCTATTTTTTGTTCAGGCATATCCTGGGATTCGAGCCCGCACTATCACCCTACATGCATTCCCCCATACACTTCGCATTCATACCCATTCTTCCAAGTTGCTTCACGTTATGATTTTGCGTTTGAAAGCCCTATTTGAATATTGCGGCCAGCTGTATGTGGCCAGCTGTGTTTGATGGTACGGTACGGGACAGATACGGGATAGCGCCAGGCGTGACACAAACAAACAAACAAACACACAAATACCAAATTAAAGCTGTGTGGACCCTGGCTAGCGCCAGACGTTACTGAAGTAACGTCTTCTGCATAGCTACGGGAATAAAGTTGATTCTCAGGTAATGAGCCTGTGAAAATAGGTGCGAGCGAGCGATTTTTTATTTTATTTCCAGTAGTAAGTAACGAGCGGGTTCTGGGCCAGGGGGCGCCCGGGTCCCAAAGAATGGGGTATTATTGAAAAATGGGGTACTAATAGTACCCCATTTTTGCGGTGAAAATTATTTTTGGCCCGTTTTTTTGCGGATAAAAATATGTGCCAGGGGTGCCCCTACCTCAAAAAAAAGGGGTATTATTGAAAATATGTATTGGGGTGTTATGCTCTACCCTAAACAATAAGGTAATATGGTGTCATGATTATGTAAGTATAAAAGGTGTGTTCTTGAATGATGATCCAGTCAGTTTCAAGTTGTTGTGGTGCATTGAAAATGGATTCTGAATTTGAGATCCTGTATGCTTATGTACGTTCAAAGAAGCGATGTGCGCTGGAGGAAAAGAAGAAGAAGAAGAAGAAGGGAAATGCTCACCATCAAATGGTGGATAAAAACCGTTTCGACTGCTTTTTAGACAGTAACGGGTAAAGAAAAAAGGAAAAAGAAACTCATATAATGCAATTCGAAGAGATAGGCCCCCAGTACAGTAAGAAGAAGAAGAAGAAGAAGAAGAAGAAGAAGAAGAAGAAGAAGAAGAAGAAGAAGAAGAAGAAGAAGAAGAAGAAGAAGAAGAAGAAGAAGAAGAAGAAGAAGAAGAAGAAGAAGAAGAAGAAGAAGAAGAAGAAGAAGAAGAAGAAGAAGAAGAAGAAGAAGAAGAAGAAGAAGAAGAAGAAGAAGAAGAAGAAGAAGAAGAAGAAGAAGAAGAAGAAGAAGAAGAAGAAGAAGAAGAAGAAGAAGAAGAAGAAGAAGAAGAAGAAGAAGAAGAAGAAGAAGAAAGAAGAAGAAGAAGAAGAAGAAGAAGAAGAAGAAGAAGAAGAAGAAGAAAGAAGAAGAAGAAGAAGAAGAAGAAGAAGAAGAAGAAGAAGAAGAAGAAGAAGAAGAAGAAGAAGAAGAAGAAGAAGAAGAAGAAGAAGAAGAAGAAGAAGAAGAAGAAGAAGAAGAAGAAGAAGAAGAAGAAGAAGAAGAAGAAGAAGAAGAAGAAGAAGAAGAAGAAGAAGAAGAAGAAGAAGAAGAAGAAGAAGAAGAAGAAGAAGAAGAAGAAGAAGAAGAAGAAGAAGAAGAAGAAGAAGAAGAAGAAGAAGAAGAAGAAGAAGAAGAAGAAGAAGAAGAAGAAGAAGAAGAAGAAGAAGAAGAAGAAGAAGAAGAAGAAGAAGAAGAAGAAGAAGAAGAAGAAGAAGAAGAAGAAGAAGAAGAAGAAGAAGAAGAAGAAGAAGAAGAAGAAGAAGAAGAAGAAGAAGAAGAAGAAGAAGAAGAAGAAGAAGAAGAAGAAGAAGAAGAAGAAGAAGAAGAAGAAGAAGAAGAAGAAGAAGAAGAAGAAGAAGAAGAAGAAGAAGAAGAAGAAGAAGAAGAAGAAGGAAAGTAATTCGCACCAATAAAAACTGGTGGGTAAAAAACCGTCTCGACTGTTTTTTAGGCAGTGACGGAGAAAGTAAAAGGAGAAAAGAAAAAGAAAAAGGAAGCGGATGCCACTGTGGGCCAATGCCTGGGGTTGAGCAAAAGCGGTGAAGGCTAAAAAGCTCTTCAGAGCGGGAGCAGGCCAGTGCTCAGCGTAGTGCAATATGGACGAGACTGTTGTAGTGAAGTTGTGGACGAGACTGTTGTAGTGAATTTGTGTTGTGGCGTCGTGCAACTTAACAGAAAGCTTGGTGCAGCGAAAGCATACAGCGAATGGCAGCGCGCAGTGTTGTGGCTTTGTGCAATAGTAGCTCTAAGCGGCGAAAGCATCTACTGATAGACTCGCTCCAGCGCGGCGCAGCACAAGCAAGTAGACTAAAAAAAAACGAAAAAAAAAAAAAAAAAAAAAGCGAACGAAAGCTCGACTTGGTTGGCGAACACCCACCCCCGGCCCTTTAGAAGCCGGTGTGGCGAGTTAAAACCAAGATTTGAAGGGTACCCAACTATCCTCGCTGGGTGGCTGTCCGCCAACCAAGTGCCAACAAACTGCCTCTCGGGGACTTTTAAAACAGTGGCCAGTCGCGCCAAGCCTTCTCACGTCGCCTCAGCCAGATAACGTAGCTGGAATTTAGTGCTGCGTTTCTGCAGTTCCTTCTTAATTGGCGCTGTTTTTCCTTACAACCGCCCAATGCCCGTGCCAAACCGTCCAGGCTGCTGGAAATGGCTCCTCTAGCTCCCACCTCCGCTGTGAGGGCCTCGACTTCCCAGCCATTCTTCATACACTCCTGTTTGAGGTGGCGATACCGTGACAGCTTCTTCTCCCTGGACTGGATGATGCGGTCTTCGCTACACACCGTGAGTTCCAGCCAAAGAACCCTTCTCAATTTCTTCGAGAAGAGAACTATGTCTGGACGACACGTGGTAGGTGCAATAAAGTGTGGGAATACTAGCCTCTCGTCCAGATCTGAAAGAAGCTGCCAATCATGTGATCCTGACAAAAAACCATCGCTCAGACCTTTCCGCTGAGGTAACTCGCCATGGGGGATGTTTTGACCCGGTTTACAGAAGGTAATGTATGTACCATTAGTGGGAGTTTGCTCGGTATTTGACGACTTTTGCTTTGCTGATACTACTTCTGTCATGAATTTACTGATCTGTTTCAGGACGTTGTCATGGCGCCACGTGTACCTTCCTTGATGGAGTGAGGAAGGGCAGGCGGTGAGAATGTGCCTCAGTGTTGATGTCCGCTGACAAAGAGGGCAATTCTGGTCCACAACAGAGTTGCCCCATCGTCTCAGATTGTCAGGCGAAGGCAGAGTATTAAGTATCGCGTTCATTTGGAACGATATCGTCCTTCCATAGCCCTCGTATAAGAGTTTCCGCCATGTCATGTCCTCGAACATTGTGTCTGCCCATTTGGTCCAGGCCCCTTGCATTTGTAGGCCCTTTAGGTGCCGGAGCTGCTCCTGGCAGTCGCCTTCTCTGATTGTATTGAGGATTTGTTTCCTTGGTTTTACCACGCGTGCTTTTGGTGTCACGAAGCCCAGTCCGGCTCTGGGCGGACGTGAAGCAGGCGTGTCCCATACGGCCGTTTCGGCACATTCCAATTCCACAACCGGCGAGAACCTACGGGTGAACGTTTGTTCTTGTTTTCTGTGATGGCAATACAGTTGAGCGATGTTGTGGTCTTTGCTGTGCTTGATAATGTGCCATTTAATAGTTTGCTGCTGCTTCCATAGTGTTGTGATACACATGAGCCGGAGACCTGGCCTTTCTCGATTTCCGGTGAAGAGGATGGCGGTGTTTGCAGCCTTGGGTAGGCCTGCCCACTTTTTAATAAAGGAGAGGCTGATGTGATGAAGCATTTTGGCAAAACTGTAACACAGGTCAAGTATCTCTAGGTGCCATGATATTTTCGGGATGATCAGATGTTGATAGAGCCAGAGTTCCTGGTGACCGACAAGGTGGGTTTCATGCACCAGTTTCAAGAGGTATCTAGTAAGGTCAACGAGATCTTTGCGTTGTTCCTCCTCTTTCATATTGTCCGTCAAATTTCTCCCCAGAAATTTGAATTGCCGACCATTTAGCGGCGGTACATCCTTGCCGGATATTGTAAGGCCGGGGTCGAAACAGGTGTACTTGTTGTTGATTAGTTTCGCCGCGTAGGTCCTGCATTTATGCGGGGCAGCTTTCATTTGAGACCAGGACAAAAACTTGTCCACAACATCTAGTTTCTTTTGTGCGCCATGGGTTCTGTTACTAAAAACGGCTAAATCATCTGCGAAACCAGTGTTAGAAGCAGTGATATCCGTCTGCTTGAAATTGTATGAAAGTGCCTGTAGGGGTTTTGCCTGGAGGGCATCGAGGAGGACTTGGAAGGTAATATTGAACAGTACTGGGGACAGTGGGCATCCCTGAAACACACCGATACTGTACCGGAACGTCCGGGTCTGGGGCTTTCGTACGGAAGCAGTGAGATGTTCGTAGTAAGAAAATACAAGTCTTCTGATTTTCAGTGGGATATGGTACCGATGCAATGCCGCTTGAATTAAATTGTGCTTTACTGATCCGAACGCGTTCTTTAGGTCTATCCACACAATGGCTATGGAGCGCTTGTTCCTCTTCGAGTCTTTCATGGCTTCGCTACACAGAGTAGCATGCTCCACACAGCCTGACATTCCCGGCAGGAAACCTTTCTGTGTCATGCCATCAAAATACTCATTCACCAACATATGGCGAGTTAGTATCTTGGACAGCATGGCAAAGAAGATCTTACCATCGCAGTTGGATAGAGCGATTGGTCGGAACTTTGCTGGATCTGACACACTGTCACTTTTAGCAATTAGTGTAACGGAGGCGCACTGCCAAGATCGCGGGATGACACCAGTCTTCCAAACTGTTTCGAAGATGCTGAAAAGGATATTGTGCAGGCATTTGCATCGTTTCCAGATTATGTACGGAATACAGTTTGAACCAGGAGCTGACTTGTTCCTGCATTTTCTTAGGGTATTTTGAAACAGGGTCCATGTTGGACTCCCGTCAGTTAACGGAGTGGACGGTTTGCTCGTGGCTGGAGAAAAATCAGGCAGGGAGAAAGTTTGCCCACGTTCCGGGTCTTCATACAGCTTGGAGAAATAATCAAAACAAGTCTGTTCTGAGAATTCAGGATTGACGGGCGTTCCTTTCCGGGATAGCCGTTTGGCGAACTTATGGGGGTCTCGGAGGAAGGCAGAGCGTTGCTTTTGTGCTTCGCGATCCTGCTCGTGTGTTTTGATGATTTTCCGCAGTTTTTTGATGTCCTTCTGCACCCGGTTATAATCCTTTCTGAGGATCTCAACCACATGCTCGTCTAATTGGTCCCTGGCTCGGTATTGTTTTCGTAGGGCGCGGCGCTCCATGTAGAGCTCCGTTAGGCATCTGGATTGGCGTGGTTTGGTCGACTGGCGCTTTGGAACTGCATCCAAGGCGGTGTAGTCAGTTAAGAAAAATCTTAAGAAAGACGTTAGTTGACCTAGGGATTCATCAGGGTCAGCATTCTTGATTTTTGACAGAGGAAAATGGCGCTTAATGTGTTGCTCAAGTTGTTGGTCTGCTTTTGCCCAGGCAAGGCTAGACCTTGGCAGGTACAGTTTGTTATTGGGCAGATCCTGATCCGGTTTATCATCATTTGCATGTAAAACTTGCTGGGAGCAATGCTCCATCGTCTCGGCTGTGACAATGTTGCCGTCAGCGCTGTGCTCAGGAGGCGGGCTGACTGGGTTGGCAACATCCGTGTTACCACTCCTATTGCTAGGGGTGAGCGGAATGTCAATTCCCTTACTTAGGTAAACCTTACAGGATTTAAGGTGACGTGCCATGTTAGATTTGAATATGTTTTTCATGCAATGCGGACATGGCTTTTTACTAGTACAGTCTTTCAAACTGTTTTGGTTGTTGGCTGCAGCGGCAGCTATTGGTTGCTTTCCCGCAGGCGCAGCCCCTGGTTCTGCGGAAAATTTGATGCATTTTTTCGTCTGATAATGACGACTTAAGTTGTAGGCGTGGCTCAGGGTGCTTCCGCACCTATCGCACACCACTCCACCTAGCTGCGAATTCGAAAAGCTAAAGAAGAAGAAGAAGAAGAAGAAGAAGAAGAAGAAGAAGAAGAAGAAGAAGAAGAAGAAGAAGAAGAAGAAGAAGAAGAAGAAGAAGAAGAAGAAGAAGAAGAAGAAGAAGAAGAAGAAGAAGAAGAAGAAGAAGAAGAAGAAGAAGAAGAAGAAGAAGAAGAAGAAGAAGAAGAAGAAGAAGAAGAAGAAGAAGAAGAAGAAGAAGAAGAAGAAGAAGAAGAAGAAGAAGAAGAAGAAGAAGAAGAAGAAGAAGAAGAAGAAGAAGAAGAAGAAGAAGAAGAAGAAGAAGAAGAAGAAGAAGAAGAAGAAGAAGAAGAAGAAGAAGAAGAAGAAGAAGAAGAAGAAGAAGAAGAAGAAGAAGAAGAAGAAGAAGAAGAAGAAGAAGAAGAAGAAGAAGAAGAAGAAGAAGAAGAAGAAGAAGAAGAAGAAGAAGAAGAAGAAGAAGAAGAAGAAGAAGAAGAAGAAGAAGAAGAAGAAGAAGAAGAAGAAGAAGAAGAAGAAGAAGAAGAAGAAGAAGAAGAAGAAGAAGAAGAAGAAGAAGAAGAAGAAGAAGAAGAAGAAGAAGAAGAAGAAGAAGAAGAAGAAGAAGAAGAAGAAGAAGAAGAAGAAGAAGAAGAAGAAGAAGAAGAAGAAGAAGAAGAAGAAGAAGAAGAAGAAGAAGAAGAAGAAGAAGAAGAAGAAGAAGAAGAAGAAGAAGAAGAAGAAGAAGAAGAAGAAGAAGAAGAAGAAGAAGAAGAAGAAGAAGAAGAAGAAGAAGAAGAAGAAGAAGAAGAAGAAGAAGAAGAAGAAGAAGAAGGGAAATGCTCACCATCAAATGGTGGATAAAAACCGTTTCGACTGCTTTTTAGACAGTAACGGGTAAAGAAAAAAGGAAAAAGAAACTCATATAATGCAATTCGAAGAGATAGGCCCCCAATACAGTTGGGGTGTGGTTGTGTCCGTATGGTATGGTGTGTCATGTACAGGTAGTTGCGTTGTGATGTATGGTAATTTGTAGGGCGAATGTCGAGAAGGCTATGAAAATAACGATTCGACAAGAACAAGTGACTACGAGAGGTTGGCAAGGTTGGCGATCGTCCACCCCCGGCCCTTTAGAGGCCGGAATGGCGAGTTCAAATCTTGATTTTAAGGACGTCCAACTATCCTCGCTGGGTGGCCGATCGCCCACCAAGTGCTCTACAACAGGTTCACCAAACAGTTTTAATACAACGGCCAGTCGCGCCATGTTCGCTCCCTTCGCCTTAGCCATAGGACATAGCTTGAGTTCAGCGCTGCTTGGCGACAATTCCTCCGCAAGAGCCTGCGCTGTTCCTTAGTGCAGCGCAAGGATCTCGCGAAGGAATCCAAGCTGGTGGATATGGCGCCTCTCGCTCCCACCTCTGCTGTGTGACTTTCCGTCTCCCAGCCATTCCTTACACACGCGTTATGAAGGTGACGATAGCGTTCGATTTTGATTTCGCGCGATTGTGCAAAGCGATATTCACTACATACCGTGAGTTCCAGCCACAGAACTCTTCTCAATTCTTTGGAGAAGAGCACTATGTCTGGACGACAGGTTGTAGGTGCTATGAAGTGGGGGAAAACAAGTTTCTCATCCTTCATGTCCACCAGGACCTGCCAGTCTGCTGAGCTAGTTACGAATTGGTCATTTAGCCGTTTGCGTTGGGAGGGGGGCTGTTTGGGGAGATTCTCTCCTGCCTTGCAGAAAGTTATGTAATCAATTCTCTTCTGATTACTCTGCGTTTCTGCTGATGCCGTGGCCTTTTGATAAGTTTGGATGGTTTCGTTTACTAGTTTTACTATGCATTTCAGTACGTTGTCGTGGCGCCAGGTATATCTGCCCTGGTGGAGGGCTGTTGGACATGCTGATAATATGTGACGGAGCGTAGCTTGCCTGTTGCATAGAGGGCATTGTTGTTCGACCACAGAGTTACCCCACCTCCTCAGATTGTCAACTGTTGGTAGTGTGTTTAATACACAGTTTAGTTGAAAGGAGAAAGTTCTCCCGTAGCCTTCGTACAACAGTTTTTTCCAAGTGAGGTCTTCAAACATCGTGTCTCTCCACTTTAACCAGCTGCCTTGCATTTGCAGGCTTTTGAGGTGGGATAGCTGGTCTTGGCAGTCACCTTCATGAATGGTATTGAGTATTTGTTTTCTAGGTTTGATTTTCTCTTGTTTGTCATGCCTAAAGCCGAGTCTTGCCCTGCCTTGCTGGAGGTTAGTTGGACTAGCTTCAGAGATCGCTGCCTCGGCACATTCCATTTCTTTTATTGCGGAGTATTGTCTTGTGAGCAGATACTGTTGTTTGCTGTGATGTTGGTACAGGTTTGCCATGTTCTTGTCGCTGCTGTTCTTGATGATATTCCATCTAATGACCTGTCGTTGCTTCCATAGCGTAGGGATGTACGTTAAACGTAGGCCGAAGCGCTCCCGAGCGCCGATGAAGAGTATTGCTGGTGCTGCGGGTCTGGGCAAGCCTGCCCATTTCTTTAAGAATGGAAGGCAAATTCTGTGTAGGAGTTTGGCGAAACTGTGGCTGAGATCAAGTATCTCGAGCCGCCATGCTATTTTGGGGATGATTTGATGCTGGTAGAGCAACAACTTCTGGTGTCCGTATAGTCTGGTCTCGGCAACTGTCTTTAGTAGGCATCTTGTGGAGTTTATGAGGCCTTCGCGTTGCGTTATCTCACCTACTGTATCTGTTAGCATCCTGCCTAGAAACTTGAATTGTTGGCCGTTTAGAGCTGGTATTGGAGTTTCCGATATTCTGAGTGCGGGGTCAAAGCAGGTGTATTTGTTGTTGGTCAATTTGGCTGCGTACGACCTGCATTTGTGCGGGGCCGCCTGCATTTTTGACCAGGCAAGGAAACTATCAACCAGATCTAACTTCTTCTGCGCACCATGAGTTCGATTGCTGAAGACTGCTAAATCGTCGGCGAATCCAGTGTTCGAAGCAGTGACAGTTGTGTCACGGAAACTGTACGAAAGGGCTTGGATCGGTTTGGTCTGAAGAGAATCAAGTAGAATTTGGAAACAGATGTTGAATAGAATAGGGGAAAGTGGGCAACCTTGAAATACGCCGATGCTGTACCGGAAGGTCTGAGTGAGTGGTCTTTTAATGAATGCTGTCAGACGCTCATAGTAAGAGTAAACAAGGTTCCTGATTTTCAGCGGGATGTGGTAGCGTTGCAGTGCCCTCTGGATCAGGTTGTGTTTTACTGAGCCAAAGGCGTTCTTTAAATCGATCCATACCATGGCAATCGAACGCTTGTGGCGTTTGGCGTCTTTCATGGCCTCGTGACACAGAGTGGCGTGTTCAATACAACCGGACATACCCGGCAAGAAACCTTTCTGGGTCATGCCGTCAAAATACCCATTCGTCAGCATGTGGCGAGTCAGAATTTTTGACAACATGGCGAAGAAAATCTTGCCGTCACAGTTGGATAGGGCAATTGGGCGAAATTTCGCCGGGTCAGAGTCATTGTCACTTTTTGCGAGAAGCGTTACTGAGGCGCACTGCCAAGACAGCGGGATGGATCCTGTCTTCCAGACTTTCTCGAAGATATTGAAAAGAATGCCGTGCAGACATTTGCACTTTTTCCACACTATGTATGGAATACCGTTTGGACCGGCTGCAGATTTGTTTCTACATTTTTTCAGAGTGTTCTGGAAGGCTTTCCAACTGGGGCTGTTATCAGATAGTGGTGTGGACGGTTTACTCGTAGCTGGACAGAAATCTGGATCCGAGAAAATTTGCTCACGAGAGGGATCTTCATAAAGTTTGGAGAAATACTCAAAGCAGGCCTGTTCCGAGAAAGTTGGTGTTACACGTGATCTGCTTTGGGACATGCGTTTTGCAAACCCGTAAGGGTCCTTAAGAAAGGCCGTCCGCGAGAAGAAGAAGAAGAAGAAGAAGAAGAAGAAGAAGAAGAAGAAGAAGAAGAAGAAGAAGAAGAAGAAGAAGAAGAAGAAGAAGAAGAAGAAGAAGAAGAAGAAGAAGAAGAAGAAGAAGAAGAAAAAGAAGAAGAAGAAGAAGGAGATAGAGGAAAGTGAAGAAGTGTGTTATCATCGTGAAGAACAAGTTGAGCATGCTGGTCATAGAGTTTGTTCTCAGTGTGGATTGGTAATGGCGGACATTTACATGCCCGAGGTAAAGTGGAGAGAGCGTTGTACTAGCATAAAGACCTACACGGATTCCGATCGCATTCAATGTGTGAATCGTCATCTTGTTCATTTTCTCAACAAGATCGAGTTCACTTTACCGCATGCACAGTTTCACCCTGTTCAAGAGGCACTGCAAGCAATGAAGAAGTCCAGTAGCTATAAAAGCATGAACTATGCAATAGCATTATCGTGTATACTTCATGAGGATCATGATGCAGTGCGCACACTGCGTTCTTCTTTACCGCGCAGTAATGTATCATGGTTGAGAAGCAGCCGCATTACACAACCTCTTCCATCATGTTTTCCACTGATGTTTCTTCTACATCTCATGGAACACATCAAGGGTCCTCTGTCCGCTAGACAGCTGAACACTCTGAAAGTTAATTTGTCCTTGATGTCACCTGCAGACCTGTCCATGATGCATCTTCTAATAGATGCCTATTGTTGGCATGACTACAGTCTGGACTATTTAGTAGATCACGTGACCTCTCTCCCACCTGATCTTGCCAACATACTCTATCAATTTACCAAGACTGCAGTACGTCATCAATGTTAGCAATGCGTTGGAGATTTACACTCTCGGGAACCTGTTCTGAGACATGGTCGAGACACGTTCAGTCATGACCGAGACATGTTCCGACAGGTCAAGTGCAAGTCGTGCTGTGATTGGTTAAATCTTATCATCTGCTCACCGTGTCCTCTGATTGGTTGATTCTTGAACAATTTCACCGTGTTCTCCAAGGTCGTCACCTCCCATAGGATGTTATTTCAAACTCGGCGGCGGTCAAAAGGGTATATTTGTGCAAGCACAGTCCTCCATTCACTCACAACTGCCTTTGTTGTTTCGTTGCTCAAGCCTTCTCTCTCTCTCCCTCTGGATCTCTCGTGACTGATATCATGATGGCCACTGATGCTGTTGTTGCTGGTGAAGATGTTGTGGACTGTTTGAGTATTGACCCGTTCGCTATCAAGACGATAAAGAAACCCGGTCTCTACAAGCGACGTGCTAGCCGTAATCCGAATCTGGAGCCTCTGCCTAAGATCAAGATGCCATCTCTTCGTCCTACCATACTACCAGGTGTCGCCACCATTATTACGGATGGGGCAGCAGAGTGTGTTCAAGCAATGTACAGCAAGACCGCCCACGACTATCATGTTGCTCCTGGCACCGATTTCTACTATACGCGCGGTGATTTACCGGGCATGCTTGTCAATGGCACGGTATGTGAAGGACGCTTTGGTCAACTTAAGCTGTACGTCCAGGCTTCACAAGACGATCTCATTCAATTCTTCCTGAAGACCTCAACACCTTTGAGACGTGCCGTGAGATCTCCACATATCAACAGGATACGGAGTAACATCTTCCCTGCAATGTACCAAGGGAAGAGTGTGACTGCTTTGTATCTCAAGCCAACCAAGGGTATGCCCAACTTCCCGATGAACGAAGAGTGTCAGCTCTATCTGCATCCTTCCACTTTTTCTTTCAACAGGGAGAAGTGCGAATTCAAGGCATGGCTTTCGGCAATCCCCCTGATGTTTGTAGACTCACGGCTTTGTGAAAGGGACCACGACACCGTGCAAGACCTTCCCGAGACTGAATTGACTCGACTGGTGATTGCATTCCTCAAGAAGTGGAGCACTGCTGACAACGTGACTGCTGACATTGCGTTTGACACAACGGTTGCGGCGGCAGCGTCTCTCCCTGACACCCTACCGGACAATTCACTGGACTTGAATCTGCTA